TTTTGGCTGAAGATACTGAGCTTGTCCATCTTCTCTTGCCACAGATGTAGTCAATCTGATTCCTGTGTACTCCATCTGGTGAACTCCATGTGTATATAGGTGCCCTTTGTGTTGTGGAAAAAAGATATTTGTGATGAATAAGTTGTTTGTCTTACAAAATTCTGTCATGCAATCTCCAGCATTATTTCTGTCAGCAAGGCCAAATTTTCCAACTACCGACGATTCTTTATTGTTTCCAACTTTTGCATTCCAACCACCAGTAATAATGAACACATCTTGATTGCATGTTCAGTCAATTTCAGACTGCAGAAGTTGATTAAAAATCTTCAATTTCCTCATCTTTGGCTTTGGTGGTTGGTGTGTAAATTTGAATAATAGTAGTATTAACTGGTCTTCTTTGTAGGCATATTATCCTATCACTGACAGCATTGTATTTCAGGACAGATCTTGGAACATCCTTTATGACGATGAATGCCACAGTATTCCTCTTCAAATTGTCATTCCTAGCATAGTAGATCATACAGTTGTCTGATTCAGAATGGCCCAAACCGGTACAGTTCAGCTCACTAATGCCTAAGATATCAATCTTTATGTGTTCCATTTCATTTTTGACAACTTCCAATTTTCCTAGATTCATACTTTGTACATTCCGTGTTCCCATTATTAATGGATGTTTGCAGCCATTTCTCCTAAATTTGATTTGTGCCATGTCAGCAAATGCTGGTCCCACAAGATTTAATTTACCCACATCATGAAGTTGGTTCTACTCTGATGAGGCAACTCTTTCCCAGTCGTACCCTGAGTGCCTTCCAACCTAAGGGCCTTGTCTTCCTGGGCCGTATCTGGTCTTCAGACTGTTCAGAACTGTATCAGACAGTGTTTCTCTGTGATACATAAGATTTTCCCTGGCCAATTCTTTGAGAAGTAGATGGCCTCTTCCTTCTTCCTAGTCTGACTTAAGTTCTTCCTAGTCTTGAAACCTTGCACTATGTGCAACCCTGCTGGCTTTTGAAACACTGGTGGCACAGCCTCAAGCCTCACAGCAACAGGCAAGCCACCACAGGAAGACAAACTGACAGACATGTTTGTCTCCTTTAGCTGTTGGAAACCTCTCTGCCCTCCCCTCACCTAATTCCTGCCTGGATCCCTCCCTCTCCTGCCTGGGGGGTGGGAGGCCCCTTACCTGGATCCTGCCGCTTTTGTCCTCCCAGGTGGTCCCTCCCTCTCCTGTCTAGGGCGTTGGGTCCCTGATCACCTACTACATACCAAAGGAGCACTGGTGGTGCAATGGTTAAGCACTCTGGCTACTAACTGAAAGGCTGGCGGTTCCATAGACCTACCAGCTGCTCTGTGGGAGAAGAGCTGGCTAGCAATCTGTGTCCATGAAGGTTACGGTCAAGCAAACCTGATGCGGCAGTTGTTAGTCACAGAGGATCACCGTGCGTCTCAATAGACTGTTGGCACATCATTATGTAACATCATTATGGCCCAGGTCTCTAGGTTTGTGGTGCCAGTGGTTGGTTTGATCTCAACTACTCTGGTGGCGTAGTGCCTAAGGCACTTGACTGCTAACCAGAGGGCTGCCGGTTCAAACCCACCAGCCACTCCTCAAGAAGGAAGGCTGGGTAATCTACTTCCGTAGTGATACTGCCTCGGAAATCCAGGGAGGGGTCGCTGTGAGTCGGGTCCAACTCGACGGCACATAACAACAACAACAACAACTAACCTAATGGTCGGCAGTTCAAGCTCACTTAGTAGTGCTGTGGAAGAAAGGCTTGGTAATCTGCTTCTGTACATTATAGGCAAGAAAACCCTGTGGGACACAGTTCTACTCTGTCACACATGGGGTTTCCATGAGTTGGAATCAGTGGTAATGGGATGGGGGACCCTGGCACCCTCAGTGGGGCTGGGGGTCTGGGACACCTTGTCCCTGGAGGTGAGGGAGAATTTGGGGCTAGAGCTGTATTTGGGAGGGCATCTTGAGCCCATGGGGGTGCAAGGAAAGAGGAAGGTGCCCCCCAGGCCCCTCTGCCTGGGCGTTCTCTTGTGGAAGGGCAGTGTTAACCAGGCCAGCCCTGGGGTGGGGCGGGATCCGAGTCACACTGAGCACAGTAAGGCCCAGTCAGCTTAGAGCCAGCCTTAGCTTTCACCTCTGAAACATGGCCACATGGTTCTTGAGGGGATCCCAGGATATGGGAGATACGGGAATCACTCAGCAGTTGTCTCCTGAGCTTCCTACCCCCACCCCCCCCGCCCACAGTCCTGCTTTCTATTCTTCCAAGGACCCCAAGGGCTGAACATCAGGACATCTATTCCAAGGACTAGGAAAGCAGGGTGCAGGGAAGTAGAGTGTTCCCCAGGTCACAACTGGGAGGGCAGGAGGCCTTGGAACCTCAGGGTCCCCTGATGCCCTGCCACCCACAGCGGAGCTGGGCAGCAGTGGCCTGGGTGGGGCCCGAGCTGCTGGCAGCACGTACACACCCTGGGCTTGACCACCTGAAGCTCAGCTGCAGCCGCGTCAAGGGCCTTGCAGTCCTGAAGCCTTGGGTGAGGGTGGGCCCAGAGCCCCGCTGCGTTCCTGCAGGAGACGCTGAAGGGACTTCAGAGCCTGGGCCGCTGTAACCGAGACGACACTGGAACAGGAGCAGGTGTCTGAGTTGCTGCCTCAGCTGCTCAGCTTTGATGCCAGACAACAGGAGGGGCTGGTGCTGGGCCGGAGACAGATGCTGGAGATGAAGAGGGCGAGGGGGAGGGTGGTGAGGGGGACGAGGAGGTGGGGGGCATGATGAGGGGCTGTGGGTCCAGCAGGGGGTGGGGGCAGGTGACTGGGCCTTGCTGGCTGCAGACGAGGATGAAGAGATGATCGAGGACAACTCCAGCGAGGATGAAGGGGCAGAGAAGGGCAGGAGGGTCGCTGGGCTTTTCCTCACAGCTGTCTGTGTACCCAGGAGAATGAGGAGGAAGATGAGGGAGAGGGTGAATGTGGCCCCAGGAAGGTGGGGAGGTCCCACGTGGGGCCCTGTGGGTACTGTGAGCACAGGATCTTCAGGAGGGCGTGAGGCACCACCGAAGGGTGCTGGCCAGGGGAGAAGAGAGCTGTTTGCAGTGGCCTTCAGAATGAGGGAAGGGGGGTTGGTAGGGGTGCCAGGGGAGGGAGCAAGATATAGGAGGTTCAACTGGCCCCAAAAGGTGGTTGGGAAGCTGGGTTGTGGTGAACACTGGGCACCCTGCACCCCAACCTGGCCTGGCCTCCCACAAAGGGCAAGAGGATGTCTCCATGGCTAGAGGACAGGAAAAGGGGGAAGCCAAACTGGCCCTGCCCCTGCCCCCATCTTATAGCTGGAGCAGGGCGAGAAAGGGAACAGCTGTAAGGACGGTGAGGTGGGGGGCCTGAAGCCTGCAGCTGCTAGGACTGCGCTGCCCTTACCATCGAAGGACTGTCTGAGTCAGCACTGGCCTCAGGATCTGGGGGCTCCAGTGGGGCCCACCCAGCACTTTCTCTGGACCAGCCTTCCAGCCTTGTGATTCCTTGGGACTTTTTCAGTAAAACTAGAAATCTCCATCCTGTCTGGTTCTGAAAGTGGTAGGACAGGACAAGGGGCACTGGCCCCTGCACCTACGTTGGATGGGGTGGCAGGGGACACAGGCCTGGGTCACAGGGTTGAAGTGACTGAGGCACGGGGCCCAAGTGGGCTGTGCGATCCTGTGCTCATGGCACCCCCTGGAGGTGCTCCCTGTCAAAGTTGTGAGTTCCCAAGATGGCTACACTGACTTAATGGGACCAGAGGGGCAAAGGACCTAGACACAAGCCGGCTGATAGCGATTATTTTATTGTCCCTCCAGTTGTTACAAAACTACCCACAGCCCCCCTCCCCCTATGCAGCCGGAATCAGAGCGGCAAGAAAACCGGACGCTCCCCCTCGGACAGCGACGACGGCGACACCTTGGGTGCAAGTGGGGCCGGGTCTGGAGTGGGAAGAGGAGGGGGCGCCTGAGCCTCGGCCCGTGCCGCCGGCCCTGCGCCCTCCCCGCGGGCGCGCGCGCGCGATCCCCGCCCTTACCCGCCGGACCGTCGGGGCGGGGAGGCCCGGCCGCGGAGGCCCCGGGGCCGGCGGGGCGGTGGTCCTCCAGGTGCAGCGTCATGGCGGGCCGGGAGGCGGTGGAGAAGGCGCACTGCATGCATGAGTAGCGGCCGCGCGTGTGCTCCCACACGATGCGGCTTGGGGCCGCGTGCCCTGCGGGTGGGCGGGACCATCAGTCCGGGACCCCAGCCCGGAGCCCTTCCGCACCAGCGATGGTGGGCGCGCGGGAGGGGTACCGGGCGCCGGAAGTCAGGCCAGGGGATGGCCAGGCTGAATCTGACCTCCCGCCCCGTATTCCCTGGGCTGGGGACACTCAACGTGGCTCGCTCGCGTCCCCATTCCCATCCTCAGAGCAAACAGGGCCCGAAGTTTACGCAGAACAGAGGCACGGATGAAGGCGCAGGTGCCAAGAGTTTTTAAGGGCAAAAGCCTGTATTTTGGGGGTGTTGCTGGCTACTGAAGTTCTGGTGGCACAGGGGTTAAAACATTTGGCTGCTAACTTAAAAAAGGTTGGCGGTTTAAATCCACCAGCTGCTTCGCGGGGGAAGGGTGAGACAGTCCGCTTGCGTAAAGATTTACGGCTTTGGAAATCCTAATGGGGCAGTTTTACTCTGTGCTATAGAGTCGCTATGAGTCGGAAACCCGACTACAGTGGGTTTGTTTGCTTTGGCTGGCTACCAGGGAAAGGGGTGAGCACTGTTGCCTTTCAGCATCCACCTGGCCCGCCAGGGCGAAGTAATGCCCCTCCAACCCTCCCTGACGGTCACCTGCACGCACCTGAGGGTGCTTCGGCGCCGCCCTGGGGTCTCCGGGGGCTGCTGCCGGCACCTGAAGTGAAAGGGCGGGTCAAGGCCAGAGGTCAGGTGAGCCCACCCCGCCCCTTTAGTCAGCTCTGTCCGCCCTCCTCCCACCCCCTGCTCACCTTGGTTTTTTTTCCAGACTGCGGCGCTGGAGGCAGGAGGCCCGGGAGCGGCGGCCAGGAAGGGCCGTAAGCGTGGGGGGCTCAAGCCAAAGGGCGTGGGGTTCAAGTAGGGCAAGAAGGGCCCGGTGGGGGTCGGGGCAGGGGCCGTGAAGGGCTCGAGCAGGGGGAGCGGCAGGCCCGGCCCCGACGCGAGATCGGCCTCCGGGGGGCGCTCGGGCGCCGGCAGCTCCTTGTCGAGGGCAGGGGGCGGCGGCGGGGCTGGGCTCTGCGCATGCTCGGCGCAAACATGCAGATGCTTGAAGAGCGAGCGGTGCGTGCGGAAGCGCAGGAGGCAGTTCTCACACCTGGGGGCAGGGTACAGGGCGGTGCGGGGTCTCTGGGTGATGGGGGCGGGGCCTCTCGGACGCCGCATGGGGGCCCGTCCCGGGAGCGTGGGGACGGAGCCTGGGCCCCATTCACAGGTGGCAGATACCCCACCTGCGGGAGGAGGGGCCATAGGAGCTTGCCCTAAGCGCCCCCCTACTGTGGCCGCGACCCTTCTGGACCCCTCCGGGTAGGAGCCCTGGGAAAACGAGGAAGGAAGTCTCAACCTTGATTTCGGGTGGCAGGGTTTCCATCTGTGAGATCAAGGTGGGCCTGGGCGGAGCCACACCCACATATGGGCCGGACGGCCAGGTCTTATAACAGATGAGGGCGGGGTTGCTCGAGGCCACGCCCACCTCCAGACCCCCCCCCCCCGAGGAAAAAGGCTGGAATCCCAAGTAGTGTATGTCGCACCAAGGGTGGGCCGAGCTGCCTGGGGCCTGGTCCCTGAACACAGGGCGAGCCATGGGGGTCGGGGTCTCACTTGAAGTATCGGTTGGGTTTGTAGTGCAGCTTGCTGTGCACCATTAGCTCCTGCATGGTGGGGAAGGTCTCGGTGCAGCTCAGGGCCGAGCAGCGGAAGACCTTGCCTGCATGGGGCAGAGAAGGGGGGTGGGTATCCGCGGGGGGGGGGCGCGGGGCTTTGCTGCCTTTCATCTTCACCTGCCTCCCCATCCCCTGGCCTGGTCCTACCTTCCAGGGACTGTGTAGGTGGGCAGTGGGTCCGAAGATGCTGTGCCAGATCCCGCACGCTGGGGAAACTGAGGAAGCAGCCAGGACTGGAGCAGGGGATCTGCTTTCCTGCGGGATGCAGACGTCGCTGGTCCTTTCCCCTCTGACGCAGCTCCCACCCCCAGGACTCAGCCCCAGGGCAGCACAGACAAGGATCAGTCTCTGCCACCAGACTGAGCTGCCAGAGAGCTGTGGCTGAGGGGGTCTAGCTTATCACTGCAGCGCCAGCCTGCATATAGCTGGTGACTGACATCGCTCTAGAAGGGCTCTGAGTTCGGAGATACACCCCGCGCTCTTTACTTCCAGAGTCTGACCCTTCCCACAAGGTCCCATCACAGGTTACCTGGTGGTGGGCGTCTTCTGGGAGGCCACAGGTCTTCACTGGCCCCGGAGACTGTGCCAGCACTGGGTCCAGGGATGGGCTGGCTGCTGTCCCCCCCAGGACCTCCAAGTCCCCACACAGGGGGTGTGGCCGCTCGGTCAGGACCTGGCTCCTCCCCCATGGACACTGCAGCCCCAGTGGCCACAACTGGGGACAGCACCTCGTCCCTCTCGCTGGAGCGGGGCTCTGCTGTGATGGGCATGTCGGGGCTAAGCCCCACAGGTTCCTCCTCCTGGTGGAAGGAAAAAGGCGAGCAGAACTCCTCAGGGGCGGCCTGGACCAGCCAAGAGACCCTTCCCACCTTGCCAAGACCACTGTGCTCAACATTCCACAGGCAGCGAATGCCTCCATCATCTAGTCCTCCACCCTAAGTCACAGGGCAGGGGGTAAGGGTGGACGGAGCATCCTAAACTTCCATCCTCCGGTCACACCCGCAGGCAGGGAGCTGAGAGGTGTCTCAAATGCAGAAGAAGGGGTACCTGTCAGGAATTACCCCTAGGAGAGAAGCAAACCTCTCATACCCAACTAGGGGAGGTGGGAGGCCCCATACGTGGGAGGGGCGTGGCCTCTAGGTAGGGGGCGGGATCAAGACTACAAAGGCGGGGCTCTAGGCTGGGCACGGTTAGGATGATTCTAGAGAGGCGA